CGTCCTGTTTGCTAGAAGCCATCATCACACACACACACACACGCACGCACGCTCACACACACACACACACAAAAACACACATGCGCACTATTGACCCTAGAGGTCCAATTACCAAAAGCAGGTTGCGGTGTTGAGACACCTTCACAAAGCATTACATGGCCATTTGGCTCGCGTAATAATAACCCACCATGTAAGCGGAATGACCTCAAATCTCCGAGGGAGAAGAAAGAAGGGCCGAGCCACATACTACCATTGTGTAAGATAGGACATAGAAACCCCAAACTTAGAGCCCCGAAAAACCCGAAAAACTTTCAAACTCCAACACTTCGAAGCCCTACCCTAAACCCTTTTCTCTTCATTCTGAACCCTACGGCTCGAAATGGCCCAAAAGCCTTATATAAGATGGTCTTTAGGCCCAAAAGCCTTAACATATGAGTCCTTAGAGCCTTAGAGAAAGCTTCCGAACTGCTGCGCGAGTCTTGGCCTGCACCACCGTCTCAGCCACTCCGGCCTGAATGTTATGACTTCGGGCTTACCTTAACCCTGAAGAACCTACCTTTCTAAGGACTTGTATAAGGACATCATGGTAGTGAACCCTACAAAAAGGTAGGTTCTTCTTAAGGACTTATATAAGGAAATCATGACAGAGAACTCTGAAAAGGTAGGTTCTTCAGAGTAAGGTAGGGTCTAGGGTTCCGTAAGGGGTTTGGGGCTTAGAGTTTATAAGGTCATGGCTCAGGCCCTTCGGGTCCATGTACCCAAGGAGTATATACTTTGGCCCCAAAGTACCTATATGGGTGGTTGTCAAAATTAGGGTCCCTTTTTGGCTACCCTAAATATTAGGTGCCGCAAAAAAAATAGGAACCCAAAAAGGGACCATAATTTTGACAACCACCCATATGTAGGGACTGCTTTAGGGCCAAAGTATATACTATTTGGGTACATGCACCCGTAGGTATCAGGGTTTATTGTGTCATGGCCGAAGGACACCGTTTGCAGGGAATTCGGGAGTTCACTTCCGGGGCTAGTTAGGGTGTTAGGGTTCAGTGTTCCCCGGAGGCCCCCAATATTCCTTAATTAAGGAATACCCCCTAAATTATGGCAGGATCCCTACTATATGTTAAGTATGAAGCGATATTGGAGTCTCTGGGTTTTGCAAATGCAGATAACATGCGCCGAAGCCGCGGGTTCCGGGTCATGACTACCCAAAGGCTCCATAGTAGTTCCTTTTGGAGGTTCATATTAAGAATCCTATAAGTTAGAAGCTGCCCCCACCCTGTAATAGTGACTATAAGGATTATATTAGGGCCCTACTATATTCCTATTATACCACTATTACAGGGTGGGGGCAGCTTCTAACCTATAAGGCAATCCCAGAAAGGAACTACTATCGAGCCTATGGCTACGGGCTCGGACCAGGATCGAAAGGCAGAGTTTCGGTCTTTGCCAGACCCGGGACTCAGTTCTTCGTTCAGAAGCTTGCAGAAAGAGTTTTATACAATCACTGGGCAGTGGCAATGATATGTTAACTCAGATAGCCCATTGGTGCCGCACCAGGACGCCGGTGATGGAAAAGAGGAGCGCCAAACGCGCCTGCATGTGCAGCATTTGGGGTGCAGGCCGCTCGGACAGCAATTCTTCCGGTTTAGGGTTTACCTTAACCCCGAAGAACCGACAATTTTACGGACTTATATAAATAAATCATAATAAGGAACCTAAAAACATAGGGGATTCAGGGTCAAGGTAGGGTTTACGAGGCCCCAGACCTCATGGTCGAAACGAGAACCAGGGAACGACGGGAGCAGCAGCAGCAGGAGAAGAGGCAGCACTTGCAATCGTAACCACATCGCAGTAGCAGTAGCATGTTCCGAGAACAGAACCTAGAAATGGGAGCAATAGTTCGCTCCCACAGAGCGTGAAGTAAGTCGGATGCAATTAAAGGCAACGAAAGATTCGTCTCAAGCTTTGCAATACAGTGCCCATCAGAATGGCTTTCAGGTCCAAACAAAGTGCAGATTCCAGTCTTTTTGAGGCGTTTTGAGCCTCTTACGGAGCTAGTGGCCTTCAGGACCTCGGCAGCCTTCAAGCTCTCAAACTCACTAAACTTTCCGCCAAGCCTGCTTTGGTGCGGTTCCGTCCCTGGCAGACCTGTACAGTCGGGGCTTCATATGTAGGGTACCAGATAGACAGTGAGACGGGGGCATGGGAGATCGTGTTCTAGTGGTTTAGTGGTTCTTTCAGGTAACAAAGAAACTGACTCTCGTCGAATGTCATGCTGTTCCTGCATGTGTTTTACCACTGGTAATGTTACAGTTGCAGCTGGAATATGGTCAGGACCACACTGTGTTAAGCTTAATTGAAAACCTGAAGCTTCAACAAAGACGTGCAGGCATACCAAACAGACAGGTGCTCCTGTTGCAAAACCTTACAGTTCAACACACCCTCTCCCGCTGAACGTAACATCTGCGACCACACCCTAAACCCTAAACACTGAAAGCCCTATAACTCTGAAGGTCCGAATCCCGAAACCCAAATTCCAAGCCCTAGGTCTTTGGTGCCTTGTCCTCCACTCTGTTGTCTTTGCCCAGTTGTAAAATAATGTTTGCCCAGTTGTAGAATAATGCTTAAGGTTTTAGGGTTTGGGTCTCGATGCACCACCCGAATATAGGGCCTGCAGAATTAGAATACTTGTTCGGGGTATACTATGGAATCATAAACATACGAAGCCCGAAGGAACATTACTCCCAAGTAACCCGCATGATGTGGTAGGGCCACTAGGTCACCAGCCAAACGTGCAATGATGTCTCTGAGCCAGAATCTGAAATAAAAAGCATTAAGTAATCACAGGAGCACACAAGGAATGCAACATGGACAACGCCCGCCCGACGGCAATGGCGATAGGACAAAAAACGTGTCGGAACATTTCGTTAAACTCAGAAATCACCTAGAGCTAGACCAGCTAGGTGTCTCCTTAGTGCTACTGATCTCTTGCGAGTTTTGCTGCTAATCTGTCCGGCGAATTTCGCAGTGGAAGGTTGGGAAAGCTCAACAGATTGCTTCGAATTGCGGATGGGATATGAGGTCATGTAAACTCCGCAGAAGCAGGTGATAGCACATGCGAAACCCAAAAAAAACCTTTCCTTCGAGGATGCAGTTCCAAGTATGATTCGCAGTACATGTCTTGGTTACCCAGACGCCCCATAGTAGTTCCTTTTGGGGATTACCTTATAGCATACTATATTCGATCCCCCGGAAGCCTCTGGTTAGGCATGTGCAGCTATTTTCGACATGCTTGTATGTGGGGACAAGAGAAGTGTGGTTGAAGAGGACTGCAGAAGTCGGACAGACGTAGATACGTATGTGTACATATACTAATATATATGTATACACATAGATAAGCATCATGAAAATGAGAAATGCGGAGCACCCAGCACAGGCACCACGCCAGAATGTCTTTGGGTGCCTTGCCACAGCGTTGCTGATGTCGCTTCCCACCTGCTGTGGTTCTCATATCATTCGCCCGACTAGGTAGGATGTCCCTCTGAGATACCCGAATCAGCCGGGCAAAAAAAACTGACCTATCGTCTGCTCATTTTTTGGGCTCATTTTTGGGTTCCAGGGTAATTAGTTCTTGCAGCATTGTCGGTTCGTTGTAGGTTCGTAGTCATATGTTTCGTGGAGAAGGAACAATACACTGCAAGACTCTGAACCCGCATCCGCTATCTGCTATCTCTAAACCACACAACCTCCAAACCCCAAACCACGAAAACGTTCTCAACACTACGCAAAAAGCACCAGAACCTTGGCCTATAAACTCCGAACCCCAACACCTGGGAAACAGGCCCAAACCCTGAATCCCAGGCCCCCCAAAGTCCTTAACCCGACAAGACCGAAACGATCTCTACCCGAAATCCTGGAAGAGAGGCCCCAGTCAGCTTAGCTTAGCTTCTTTTCTGTGCACTCTCCCAGAAGCTTGCAAGTGCTGGGCACGGAATTCGCTCAAAGCGCCTGTTGGACATCTGGCATACCCAAAGGCTCCATAGTAGTTCCTTTTTTAGATTCATATTAAGAACCCTACAAGGCTATAAGGTAATCCCAGAAAGGAACTACTATGGAGCCTATGGGGAAACCCTATTCGCCCTAAGCCCCCGTAGAGTCTCCGAGCCCGAAATCCGACACAGCCTGAAGCCTACCTACAGTATCCATTCTACTTCCTTTGTGGGTTTAAGGTCTCGGGTTTAAGGTTTGGGGGATAGAGCCTGAAGCCTGCCTTTTGTCTCCTTTGTAGTTCCTTTTTGGGGCTATTTTTTAGGATCCTAAGTGTATATTTGGTTAAACCAATAAAAAGCAACTAGAATGGAGACTGTAGGTATACCCCAAACCCCGAAGCCCTAAAGCCTTAAGCCCTGAACACTACTGTTCCGTGGACCCTCTGGACAAGCCAAGAACCCTAAACAAGAATTCGAAGCCCGAAAGCCCCGAAGAGGCCTGGAAGGTGGACACCGCCGTGGTGACTTCGAAGACGCATTGAAAGGGCAACAGGCAGCCTTGGTTTAGGGCTGAAGGTCTTATGGGTTTCATTTTTTTAGATTTGGGGCGTTAGTGTTTTCGGGCTTTCGGGCTTTAGGCTTTAGGGTTTCAGAGTTTGAGGACGTTAAGGTCTCAGGGCTTCAGGGCTTACGACTTTAGGGCTTTGATCAGGACTGTAGGGTTGTAGGATTTAGGGCTTCAGGGCTTTTAGGTTTTAGGGACTTCAGGGTTTTATATATGGTTTTGGGTCTATTCGGGGTGCAGGTTCTCAAGGGCTTGGGATTCATTGCTGCGGCAACGCTTGAGGTCTGTCTTATTCGTCGAGTTTCCTAGGACTCCTGAAGGTCAACCTTTGGAATTATATAAGAAATATGGGGGGGGGCCCTGATACCGTTACCACGGTCCTCTCCCTAAACTCTAAATCCTAAACCCATGAACCCTAAACCTCTTTACCTAAACCGGCCCAGGGTTTAGGTCCACATCCTTTCTTTCTGCTCTTCGACATCGGCGCGGCAGAACTGCAGCTCAGGATTCGCAGACTTCCGTTGGACCGAGAAACGCCCGGCCTGTCAGTTCCGAGTGCACCGGAGACAAGCAGGGTCTTATCGGGCGCCCTACCCTAGGGATCTAAGGACTCATATATTACGGCTTTTGGGCCCAAAGACCATGCTATATAAGGCTTTTGGGCTATTTTGATCCCTAGGGCTATAGTAGATTCTTGCAGGGTGTCTATATCTAGGGCTCAAAAGGATACCCTACTTTGAATCTTATAAGGCTCCGGGGCTCAACGGCAAAGGCCATGCTACAAAAGGCTTCCGCGCTGTTGTTAAATGCTGCTATTTTGGGCCTTATTGTAGGGGCTAGCCCTTAGGGTCCATGTGCCCAAGTAGTTTATACTTTGGGCTGAAAGAACTTCCTGTACAGTTGGATTGCGACCAAAGTATGTGCCGTTTGGGCACATGGAGCCTTAGGGCTAGTTTGGGCTTCAGGGTTTTTAGGGCTTGGGGTTTTGGGTTTCCCAACGAGACTCTGCATTGCAGTTCCTTGCTGTTTTGCCAGCTTTCTGATTAGGATCCTTTGCTAGGGAAGTTAGGTAATTAACAGAACAAAGAACGACGGCAAGGAAACGTGGCATCGTTATCGGGCACCTACTTTTGTTTAGATTTGTCTAGGATAGAGTGAGCTACCGCAAAGTCGGGTAACCTCTAGCTAGGTTGTTATGAAAGTTGCAGCGCTTCATCGGGTTGGCGAAGAAGCTCTGAGCACGTGACATCGTTTTCTAAATCATACCCTATCCCTCCAAGGACCTCATAGTTGGGGCCCTAGACCCCTTAAGGACCCCATAATAAGGTCCCTGGAGGCATCGGGATAGGGGTGGGGTTTAGGATTTCCGTAAGGTTTATAGAAACCTTTGGGCCTTACGCTGCAACCAACAGGTCCCTGTACCTGAGCACCAAACCCCTCAAGCCAATGCCCTGAAGACCAAGTGGGGCCTTTGAGCTGAATACGTCCAGGCTGTAAGAAGCACCAACATCCGATGGGGTGAGAGCGAGAACCTCCGGCTCAGGCTTTCGAATCTAACTACCATTTTTTGGTTGATGAACTCCGGAGGTCAAGTTGTTCAATGTTTGGAGTTCGCGGCCAGTAGCTTGGGTAAGGTTCTGTGGAAGTGGGCTTGTAAGGCTTCGGGTTCAGGCGTGGGTATGCAGTTGAGACTGCCATCCTTGATAAAGCATGAAGTCGACAACCGTTGTAGTCATCGTCCTCCTCCTCCTCGTCTTCCTCGTGTCGGTTTTCCTAACACCATCATCATAACCACTAAGCTGGTCATCCTCCTGATCCCCTCATCATCCCTCATCCATGTCGTCACCGCTACAGCAATATGTCCAACAAAGGCAGTTTCAAAGGCAATGAGTCATGAGCATGACTGCGAACAAAGTATATGATCGTGGTTGATACACAGTAATTAGTTGGAACACTTGACAGCCATCTAGATCGGAATCGGCCACAACCTGCTCTAAGTGACGAAAGACTACACATGCCTTCAGAGCCAATCAAGCAACCTGTTACACACAGGCACATTCGTGAGTGCAGGCATGTATGTGCATACGTACCGACGTACGTGCGTACGTTCGTATGTATATGTGTATGTATATACATACGTATGTCTGTTTGTCAGTATGTATGCACGTATGTATGCACTGCGCTGTTTGTTGACCTTCGGTGATAAACATCCAGCGATATTTCCAAGCCCAACCCTACTGCAGGGTCTGATTGTATTGCTGAATGTATGCACGCATGGATGCATGAGCGAAGGCACGAACGTATCTATGTACTCTTCCGATATAGATGTATACATATATATATATATGTATATTATGTATACACACATATTTATTTATCTATATATGTATACATATGTATAAATACCCTTATATGTATATATACACTTATATATATATATATACATATATATATATATACATATATACATATATATATATATATATATATATGCATCTATGTATATACTTGCGACTGCATGCATGTAATTATGTCTGTCTGCTCCTTGTCTGTCAGTCTCGCTGTCGGTGCGTCTGTATGTGCTTGTGTACCTATGCTGCACATAGAGCCGTAGGGAAGCAAGCATGTTTGAATGTGTACGCAAGTGTGTATCAGCTGTATGCAAGTATTCTATCCATACCTATGTCTATATAAATATCTGTAGCTATATCTAAATCGATGGATCTATCTAGAGCTATATGAAGATTCGTATATATATATATATATGTATACATATGCATATACATAGAAACATACATACATCCATACATCCATACGTCCATACACCCATACACCCATACATCCATACCCCCATACACCCATCCATCCATCTGTCCATCGAGAGGTGAACGATTGTTTCCGTTGTAAATGGAGAAATCTGGGTTCTTGTTACAGGGTTTCATTTAAGCTACCATGTTAAAAAAAAAACATAATATTTACTTTCGACCCCTGTTATGGTAACTTAAATTAAACTCTTTAACAAGAAGACAGAAAAGTCACGTCAACACATGCCGTAAGATTTGCAGCCCAAGCAACGATCGCGGGGAGCTTGTTGCCTCAGAACCCTAAGCCCCCAACCTAAAGCTTAGTAACGCTTCAACCACACAGTCTTGAAACTATAGGAATTGAACCCCATCGGCGAACCTCCTCATTGCATGGCTTGTGGTTCGGGGTTTTGGGTTTGGATCGCAACGCTGTGGGGCATGGCCTTTGTTCGATTCATGGGTTTAGGGTTTGGGGCCGTTGGATTTCGGATTGAGGTGAGAGCAGGGCCGGGGATGGAGGAAGTGGAGGGAGGAATCGTGGCAACCATGTGCAACTAAGGGTACTTTATAGGAACCCCCATTAAGGGATCTACTTTTTGGATCCTCCCGGGGGTCTGGGTATAGGTCTGATCCGAACCTGAGAAGAGAAAATTCAGAAAGAACGACGAGACATGAAAAAACCAACTGAAAGATGCTATATGGAAGTAAACTCCTACTCCATTGCCACAGAGCAGCCCAGCTTCCATGTTGCCCTGGCAATAGTGGTCCAAGGTTCGGCCGCCTTGTGCTACAAGCGGCTTGCGAGTACATCGGCAAGCACCGAATAGGGGACCGTAATATAGTACGTACCCTAAATAGTAGGATCCTTACTACAAGTACCACCAAAATAAAGTACTGCTCATTTTCGGAAACTCCCACGACATTGTTGCTTACCTAGCCCAGCTGACCTAGCTGAGATCCGGCTGGACGACCTTCTGTGATAAAGTGACAAGCCATGGTCCGACAATGAAGCATACCTTTTGTAAAGGGGTTACTATACAGTTCCTTGAAGGTTTACTATAAGGGATGCTCTAAGGTTTCTTGAAGGCTTACTTTAAAGGCTACCGTAAGGTTTCTATACGGGTGTACCTATATTCTCCGTTGTAGTTCCTTTTTGGGGTTATCTTTTGGAATCCTAGTTACATATTTGGTCAAACCCCAAAAGGAACTACAATGAGACTATAGGTAGACCCGCATAGAAACCTTACAGTAACCCTTAAAGTAACCCTTAAAAACCTTAAAGCATCCCTTATATAGTAAACCTTAAAGGAGCCTTAAAGTAACCCCTTTACTATGGGTAGGTTACAGCACACACACGCACACACCCGATGTTCGGTGTCAAAATGCTCTGCCCGGCCCAGGTCTGACGACTCTAGAAGTCAAGACCTGCTTCCAAAACAATCCCTACATTGTCGGGTAAAGCTACCCATAATAGGTTTAGGGTTTAAGGTTTAGGGGTTCGGGGTTTAGGGTTTAGGGTAATGCTCCCATAATATAGGGGCCTTAATAATTAGACTGGGGTTTTGGGGGCCGTTTTACTGTAACTCCAGTGAGGAACCCCCCAAGCTGGTATTGGTAATTAGGCCCCTATAGTACTTGCGTGGCATTCCTCAGTCGCACAACCATGGCATGGTCTGCAACAGTACTCTCCATGACATCTCTATTAGCACCCGGGCCACTCACTACGCGAGTATCCGAGTATCCCCTTGTACCCACTCTTACTTCTGTCTCATAAACATGTGGTAACTGTTTAGGGTGCAGGGTTTGGGGTGGAGTACTGGAGGTTAGTTGTAGCCTATGCCCTGAACCTGTGCGGTACGGCATAAGTTAGTTACACCCTAAACCCGAAAGAGTAGCACCTGAACGATAAACCAAATGTTTTCAAAACTAGAAAAGTATAGAAGATAGTTACACCCTACAGTAAACCCTTAACGTATAAGTTAGTTAGAGCCTACCTCAACCACATAAAACCCGGACCCATTACAGAAGGACGTCGTCGTAAGAACGCCCTAAAAAGGTAGGTTTCTTGGGGGTCCAGGTAAGCCCCCGAACCCCTGAACCCTACTTGGAGGCTCATAGGTAGTTATACGTCGGGTTATAAGTAGGGTAACTATAATTGTAAGCCATATTAGGGGACTTATAACCCTCAACCGTGGCTCTTCTAGGTCAAAGGGGAGAAAAGGAGGGACCCTTAAGGGGGACCCCTACCCTATAATGGGGCTATATAATGGGTATATAATAGCTATATTAAGGGTATATACCTTGGGGTCCTTACTAAGGGTCCCTCCTTTTCTCCTTGGATCTTGGGGTCCAAGTAAGCCCTGAAACGCTAAGTGACTTGGCCTTCGCAAGAGTCGCCTCGTTTTCGGCGGAAGTCAGCATGAAGCCTCTGCTTGCTAGGGCTGACCGAGACACCCCCCCAACTACCCTCTAGTATAACGTACAAAACTATTTCTGAACGTATCTAAAAATGTATATGTATATATATATATACATAGATATAGATATACGTATATACATGTTCATTCGTATACATTTCTTTGTACTATACCCACCAGGACCATAAGGCCTCTTCTGGAGGGTCCTTGGGGGGGGGGTCCTGGTAGAGCGTTTTCGGTCTTGGGAATTTAGGCAGAGGGCCAGGAGAAGTTCGAGCTTGCAATTTAAAGAATCAGAGATCATTGGAGTTCCGGGCTTAGTTTAGGGTTTAGGTTGTAGCATTTCGGGTTTGGGGTTTCGGAGCAGAGGCTTTTGGGCTCAGGAGGGGTTGCAGGGTCCAATGTGGGGTCTTGGGGTCTAACGGAATCATGGCACGGGCTCCTCCCGCACACCCTAAACCCCTAAACCTGAACCCTAAACCCCTATGAACCCTAAACATAAACTCTGAAGCCCTACAAACCCTAAACCCCTATAAGCCCTAAGCCCTAGCGGGAGGAGCGATGGGGCCAGAGGCTTGGCAGGAAGATCGAGTTCTTTTGAGGGGGTCCTGAATAACTACCGGGACCCTAGAGGAACTACCTTTAGGGTTTAGGGTTTTTAGGGTTTTAGGGCTTTTAAGGTTTAGAGTTTTAGGGTTTGGGGTTTAGAGTTTTAGGGTTTACATGTTCCTTTGCTGTGATTACACCATAAAAACCCGTAACAGGTGGTTAAGGTATATAGATGGATGCATGAAGACCTGCTTCGGGGTCACAGAGTGCAATCTTATTCCTTGAAGTTCCGCCACGATTGTCTTGTCACAAAAAACCTACCTATAGTCTCCATTGTAGCTCTGTTTTGTTTAGCCATATATATATATATATATAATTAGGATCCTATAAGGTAACCCCAAAAACGAACTACAATGTATACTATAAGTACGGCAAAACTAACGGAAGCCCCGGCCTGCCAGCCCCGAAACCCTAGAATCGCCCATTGAGGGATACTATAACGGTATACCATAAGGGTTCCTATAAGGTTGCTACAAGGGTCTGTCTATAGTCTCCATTGTAGTTCCCTTTTTTGGTTAGCCAAAAACTCTATTATAGGAGCCTAACCATAAAACTGGTCAACCAAAAAAAGGAACTACAATGGACTATTATAGGTAGAACCGCTCAGAAATTGAAACTCAAACCTTGCGGGAGATGAAGCCGGAGTCATTCTGGGAACCCTGAAAGTCGCAGCCCTCAGTTCAAGAGACTCCAGAATCCTGAACCCTACTAAACTCCTAGACCCTGAATCCTAAACCCTGAACCCCCAAACCCACACCCAAAACGCCAAACCCTGAACCGTGAACCGCTCACTCTACTAACAAACTCCAAACAGCTGCCAGGGCACAACGGCCAGCGGGCTTCAAAACGCGGCGGAATTCTCGCAGCAACTTCGGATAACTCTCCTGCTGGAAACCCCAAGGGCTCCGGTTACCGAAATAATGAGAACCGGCGTACATAGTGTATGGCTAGCAACCTGCTGGCAACTGTTCGTGCCTGCAGAAGCCTTGCAGGCACCCTGAGCACGTCATGCATTCATATAGGGCTTAGGGTTTAGGGTCTTCATGCTTCTCAGATTCAGCCTCATGGCACGCGCAAGCAAACACAGTGCTCGAAGTCCTTGTTGCCCTCGACACTACCAAACTGTCCTGAGTTGGCAATGATTACTTAGGGGTTGCTCCCGGTTAGGATGCCACTGAAAGTGCTTCTCTTAGGCTAGGCCAAAAGGCTCATCGTTAAAATATTGTCGGGTTACAGTATACACACCAGAAAAATTCAATCGTTACCTAGACTCAGCCCTGCCCCCCTACCCCCAAGCGTGCTCGCTACGAGTGCACTTGACCCTAAAACCTTGCGGGTTGAGGGCTCAGGGTTTACTTACCCTAAGGCCCCAAAGTAGTTCCTTTTTGGGGCTCATATTTAGAATCCTAAAAGGTAATCTCAAAAAGGAACTACTTTGGGGCCTATGGGTAAGCCATCTTAAGCCCGAAAGTTGAATGACCTCGGCCGTGAAATGCCAGAGTCCCCTAAGGGTCCATGTGCCCCAATGATATATACTTTGGCCCCAAAGTACCCATATACGGGACTACTTCATTTAAGGCCAAACTATATACTGTTTGGCTACATGGGGGTTTCCAAAAATTGGGGGACCTTAGTTTGGGGTCCTTATAATACGGGTCCTACTATCTAGGGTACCATATTAGGGTTCCCTATTTTCGGAAACTCCACCAAAGGCCCTTAGGGGTCCCTGAACTCGAACGATTCGGCCAAGGCTCTTCCAAAGGGAAGGTCGCAAAGCACAACGTCTGCAAAAGCATCTGGCAGCGGCAGGCCTGGCCCAAGGCTCTTGATCATGAGGCTGTGAAAGCTTTTCTTTTGAACCCTAAACCCTAAACCCTAAACCCTCGTGTCTTTTCACCTTGCGGCATCCAGACTACCGTACCGGTTGAGGGAGTTGGGGACCAAGGACTGTGAAAGCTTTAGGGTGCAGGGTTTACAACAGGGGCCTAAATAATTACCTATCCTATTTTGGGGTTCCTTACTACATGGGAAAATAATGGGCACGCAAAGCCTGATCTAATTATTAAAGCCCCTAAATCAAGGGTTCCTGTGGCTTGTTGAGGGCTGGAAATGATTTTTCGTTGATCTTGAAGATGTGGCGGCTTGTAGGGGACTGATCGGCCTTCAGATGTCCTTGTTTGTAACTCAAAGCAAGATCCGGGTAGGGATTGAGGAATTGAGGATATGGGGCTGAGGCACATTATGCCGATATGCAAAACCTTGAACTGCGATTTCCGACATAAACCCTAAACCCTATAGCCTTACACAATTCCGACATGAGGCGCTCAGCATCCGCATGCAGCAGCGCCCAGCGCGGGTGGCGAAGCGAACGGAAGTGCTCGAAAGCCCGGCGCACCATGGTGGCATCGACGTCGCATCCTACCTGAGTTGGAGGCAGAACTACCTAGAGTCTCCATTGTAGTTCCTTTTTTGGTTAACCAGTTTTATGGTTAGGATCCCATGATAGAGTTTTTGATTTTTTAATAAAGGAACTACAATGGAGACTATAGGTAGTGTGCAACGGCTCATGTATCAAGGGCCTACCGGTTGCACGCATCAATGGACTGATTTGTACTGCCCCAGAAACCCAGTATACTTACCTTTGGTAAGTAGGGAATGGAAGAATGGTAGTAATAGTAGTTATATTTGTACCCCGTTCCCCCATTCCCTACTAACCAAAGGTAAGTAGAAGCCTGGTATGGGCAGGAGGTTCTCGCCCCTGTATAACTTGAGCCGATGTAAGCTCTCAACTTCTCAACACCAAGCCATGACTCAACACCACTATACTGAAGGGTCCATGTACCCATACACTAGATACTTTGGCCCTAAAGTACATATAAATGCAAAGGGACTGCTTTAAGGCCCATGCATACACTATATAGGTACGTGGACCCTTAGGGATATGTATTCAAGAACAGCAAAAATACAAAGACACAGACAGAGAGACACTCACAACACCAACTAGTTACGAAGGTACATGGGCCTCCAGAACTACGTGGAGGTTCATAAATAGTTATAAGTACGGTTCTAAACAAAAATACATATGCTTATAACCCATATTAGGGGACTTATAACCCCACTTATAACTACCCATGAACCTCCAAGTAGTTCCCTAAACCCTAAACCCTAAACCCTAAACCCCCCAAGCGGCCTAATAACCCTGGCAGCCTCAGCTCCAAGCCGCAAACCTTGAACCCCGAATCCGAAGCCGTCGCTCCCCAAATACTGTTGATGATGTAAATCCTGGGGTTCCTTTAAAGGGATCTATAAGGATACCTTCAAGGGGCTCCTTTAAGGGATCTACAGGGTTTTAGGGTTTAGGGATGTAAATCTGCATTACCCATAATGAGGAATATGCCATAATTCCCATCGTCTAGGGTCCTTAAGGTAATGCAGGATTTAAATTTATCAACCGTAGTGCGCCACCCCAAACTACCCTAAGGCCCCAAAGTAGTTCCTTTCTGGGGTTCCTGTGTAGAATCCTATATATGGTAATCCCGAAAAGGAACTACTATGGGGACTCTAGGTACAAACCACAAATCCTACTATAATCCTAAACCATGAACCCCTCAACCCTAAACCCTCAACCCTAGACCGCAAACCCTCCCGATGCCAAAGCCTGAAAATCTCCAAAGAGAGCGGGTCGTCAGCGCAGGAAAGCGGCGACAAAGGCACCCTTTGGTGCTTCCGTGAGAAGCATGCCTGCGGTTTAGAGTTGAGAGTTTTGGAGTGTGCCCGCGGCTTAGAGTTCAGGGTTTTAGAGAGTGCCTGCGGCTTAGAGTTCAGGGTTTTGGAGTGTAGCCGTTTAGGATTTTTAGGGCATTCATCTAGGGCTTTCTTTTTAGATGCAGTAGGTCTTTCTCCGCTGTGCAGATCCAGCACTGGCGTCCTTGAAGCAGCCATTAGGCCAACAGCAAACGTTACGTAGTAGGAATGTGCGAGGCATCAGGACGAGGGTTTCCTTCTTGTTCGAACTCTTCTGGAAGGGGTGGGCTGGTTTCGGGACCCAAGGAAGTCATGAAGGAGGGCCGACATGGATACCGGTTCCCCTCACAGCGACGAACAGCTGCTGTACGACATTCCATCTATGGCAGGACTACAAGAAGCTGCACTTTTGAACAGGAAGCCAGCACATCGCTGCCCACAACGTGGCTATACACAAAATCCGTGAAGTGAATCTCTGTAGGCTGCTGGGATCTGCTGGGTAGTTGGATGGCCTCTAGCTCTCGTTAAACTACGCATGAAATGTCAAACTCTGCAGGTGGATGGGTAGTTGTTCGGGATATGCAATTTGCAGTCTAGGGTTTAGGCTTTGGGGCTAGTTAGAATCAGGCCCAGCGGCCCTTAAACCTGCAACCCGACACCCTACGAGCGCAAACAGTGAGCTCTGCTTTTCAACTGCAAGAAGCTGGCAAGCTCCAGACGTGGAACGAAACGTCTTGTCACATTCCGCACTATATCAACACCATTTTCCAATGGTTCAAGGTTCACGTCCAAGTGGAACATGACGACAACAGGACTCAATGCCGCTGAACACAAATACTGCTCATTGAGGAATGTAGCTCTCTGATGAGGGACCCTTCCTCAAGGGCTTATACAACAAGGATTGCGAGAAAAGTCCGAATTGCTGAAAAGTGGCTTATTGATCAGCGGCTGTGAACCGCAAAAGTTGTAAAACCAGTCAAACCCAAACCCACAACCCTACACCACACGCCCAAACCCTAGGCCCATTTCACAGATCATGCGTCCCCTGTACCCTTATTATGCCAGATATAGGCTGACCCCTTGACCCGGAAGGGAAACAACCGGTCCCGCTACCTGTGCCGCACATCGGGTCCAGGACAACCTCGCCCGGCTGAAGACCTGAACACAGCTAGGATGCCCAGTAACCTAGGAATGAGAAGGGTGCTATAAGGGTTCCTTTAAGGGTTCTATAGTGTTCTAGGGTTTAGGGTTTAGGGACCCCAGAGTAACCTAGGAACAAAAAGGGCTCCCTTTTGGTATCGGGTAACTTTATCAGGAACCTAGGACTACAAAAAGGGAATAAGGGTAGTACTGGGCATCCTAGACAGTGCTCTGGGTTATGCCTAGTCTCCATTGTAGTTCCATTTTTTGGTTAACCAGTTTTATGGTTAGGATCCTACAATAGAGTTCTTGGCTAACCAAAAAAGGAACTACAATGGAGACTATAGGTAGGGTTGCCTTCTCCCCAACCAAGCAAAAAGCTTTTCACATAGTGCTCCAGAGCTTCTAAATTTCTATATAAGCCCGTCGACAAGTGAAATTGGTTGGTTGTGAATAAATCCCTATGCCTCCAGGGACCTTATTATGGGGTCCTTAGGGGGTCTAGGGACCTAACTATGAGGTCCTTGGAGGGATAGGGAATGACCATAAAGTTGACACTTGCTGGTTTAAACGGTTTAGACTCACGTTTCAGGTCTTGTTTTCGGGCTTAGGCCTATAGGAACATCAAGGCCCCAATATTATAGTACCCTTATAGATCCCTTATGGTGCCCTTATTATAGTAACCCTTATAGATCCCTTATACTCCTTCGGTGGGGCTCCCAGTGCATTGGGGGAGCAGGGGCGGCATGTACATCTACAGAAGCTAGCGACTTTGGGTTGCAGCCCCAGGGGGCTCTGGGTTGAGAGGGTTGTGCGAATCGTATATGCGGGTTTAGGGTTTAGGGTTTAGGGTTTAGGGTTTAGGGTTTAGAGTTTAGGGTTTAGGGTTTAGGGTTTAGGGTTTTCGGACCCCCCTGACTGTTCTGGTGGCTGGCTGCACTCTTCGGGCCCAAGCGCTCAAGGTTGGGAGTTGCGGGGGCCTTGACCATCTATAGAAGCTAGTGTTGTGCTGGATCCCAAAATACTGTACGTAATATAGGGGCCTCGATAATTAGAACAGGGTTTTAGGGCATATAAAACCATAGTTATAATAAGGAACCCCAAAATAGTATAGGTAGTAATTTAGGCCCCTACATAATGGAATTTGTGTCGCAACCTTTCCATTGCGACAGTTCTCGCAGATTTGATTAGGCAGTGCATTGCATATGAGGCAGTGCATACACGATGCCAATGCCTTTCAGAAATGCAGTGCTGTGACGGGTTTAGGCGGGGGATGGCTGCGACGATGTAAGACAGGGGCCGACAGTGCGGAGATGGTTTCACTGATAGCAAAGATTGACAAGGAGTTCCCAGGTGTGCTGCTGTATGTCCAAGAGCCCCCACTGATAATTAAGTAATTAAAGCGACAGCTGTCCTGTGTCAGCAGGATGCCGGGTTAGTAATATTGGAGTTTATCCACTACACCAGTAGTCAACTTGCAGTCGCACATATGCCGACAATAATCGTAAGGGCAATAGTAGCAGGCTTATCCTGGCCCATGAGAAACCCTGTTTTACAACAGACACACGCGGGATTGTCGTGCACAAGGAGTCTGTTAGCCATCGAGCCTGCAGCCGAAACCAATGCCCAGGCCACATTTGGATGCCTTCAGCTGACCCAATTCAATCTGGGCTTTGGGTTTTTTGGGTAGCTTTTCAGGGACAAAGATGAGGTCATATAAGGACACCCCAAAAGTAGGGCTTTGGGGGGATAGGGAAATCCCTGAAGCAAACTGTGCACGTTTCTCTTACTTAACACAGTGATGTACTAGTAGGGATACCAGTCACGAAACCTGATAGAGCTCGAAACCACCGTTAACTTTGCATGCATGGTTAGGTTTGTTTGGGGTTTAGGGCTTAGGGGCTCTAGCCTTTCTTTCGTTGTCTACTCCTGTTCGAGTTGCTGCCCGTTGCCCCTCATACGGCCGATGATATAACTCCTGCATTAGCTTAAGGAGCGCGAGCTTGGGTTTTCGGGATTCGGGTGTACTTCTTGCACAGAATGCAACTGATGGGCCAGATGCAGAATTTTGCCTGAGTCAAAAGCATCAATCCTTAATGAACCCTGTCATCCTGAACCGGACAAGTCGAAGGAAGAACAGTATGCATCTTTGCTAGCGCATATGACAAACCCTTACCTCCAAACACGGACATGGTTGCTGAAAGTACACCTGAAAGCCTGAAAGTAGCCTAAACACTACACCCCAGACTCCAGGACTCTAAACCCTGTACACCTAAACCTTCGAAACCCAAGTCGCAATCCCGTTGCCGAAGTGTAGACCGGCTTGGACTCCAGCTGGCGAAGAAGAAGGAGTCCTGGACGGCAGGCCACATGCCATAATGTACTATATAGTTGAAATGTATTATATGACTTAGTTCGTTTCAAAAAACTCGAACATGTTGTAAAAGACGATAAGACGTGATACAATGCTTCAAAATGCTTCCGGACACCGCAATAATTATGTTTCTAAGCTGCGATAAGGGAATAAAGTTCTATGATATTCGATCAAATGTAAGATCATAGTCCATTGCTGAACAACTGATTAAGATGAGGTGGACGGCTGATTCATACCTCCCCTAAGTAAGGGAGAAAATCATGGGGCCCGGTGTTGTTATTGCCTGGTACGTCGGGAAGATTAACCAGGGGTCCACATTCATCACCCTACCAGCAATACTCGTATTTCAGTTTTCCTGCAATCAAAAAGTTCCATTGCTCCGCAATATATCATGTCTGTCTATCGAGCTGCCAAAGGCTTGATCTAACAGCCCGGTGAACTCCGAGCCCCGCAAAGCACTATCTGACAGTCCCAATGTCCAACCATTGCCACTCATTATGTCGAAGGCCTCCACATGTCTCCTCCTCTACGGCATAGATCCACACCTCGCCCCGGTCAAGGACTTGGAATTTAATCAAGGTTGTGTCGGCATGTTGGGCTTACGTGCTAAAGAATTGTTGTGTGTTTGGAGCTCTGCTTTGTGGTTGGTCAGCAAGCCGCATAAGGCTACAGGATGCGTGCATCCACGAGTTTGCCTTCGGGCTTCGGGTCTTTCGGGAAGCTGGGGTTTAAGGCTGGTCTTGGCAGGCCCCAGAGGTTATTGCCATCGGCGGAACTACACCTCGGCATGCATATATGCATATATATATATATATATATCATGGGGCCTCTAGGATCTGAAATCCCTAAGCTCTAACCCTCTTCATCCCCAGGCCTATAGCGCCCAAGCACCCAAACACGAGAGCCTTAACAAAAAACATGCAGTCGACTTAGCACTGGAAGCCTAAAAGGCTGCTGAGATTCTTAGGCGTGCGAACCAACAACGATGGCCACCCCCTTTTTCTCAAAAGTCCGCGGCGTCGTAGGACCTGAAATGAACCGCCATAGGGACTTGATCAGAAGCCTTATACGGCATGATTGTAGAACCCTTTATGCGGCCTCCAAGTGGGGGTGTCGCAACTCCAGGCACCATGCAAAGCGGTCCTGAGAAGCGTTCGTCGAAGGCCCGAAATCTCCAAAGCAGGGCTTCAAGGTCTATCTATAAACCCCAAAATCTCGACCCAGTGGGTTTTAGGATAAGGACGTGAAATTGAAAAGGTTCCCTAAGGGTCCATGTACTCATATAGTATATACATTGGCTACTGTAGTCCCTGTATGGGTACTTTGGGGCTCATGTATCTGTACATGGGTACATGGACCCTCAAGGGTCTGGAATTGGAGGATTTAGGTTGCTTCTAACTCTGGAGTCTCGGCTCAGGCCTTGGGGGCCTGAAGGCTAGGACTTAATGCTTCTTTGGAGATCTTTCCCACAGGGTCCAAGTACCATTATAGTAGCTACTTAGTAGGTATTTAGGCCCCAAAATATATACTATACTAGTACTTGGACCCCTTGAGTTTGGAGGGTTTAGGGGCTTTCGGTTGAGAGGTTCCCAAAACACCACACCCGAAAGCCAAAGGGGCTTGACGGCCAGGCTTGGGTTACCCTAGGGCTCCAGCTACCTAAATCGTAGGTTGCTAACCATATACGATATACCTTAGAAGGGGCCCCCACCCTGTAATAGTGGTAAAGTAGGAATAGAATAGGGCCCTAATATAATCCTTATAGTCACTATTACAGGGTGGGGGCCCCTTCTAAGATATAGCCAAAGTAACCTACTACATAAGTAACCCGAGCCCTAGTGTTACAGAAAGTGCAAGGCTTGAGGTCTCAGGGGTTGGGCTGGTTGGTTAGTTTTTTTTTCCAGTGCGGGCCTTCAGAGTGCGGGACTCGGGCCTCATGATGTCCTGTAGTCCCCAAGGGTCCATGTACTCATATAGCATATACATTGGCCTCCATGTAGGCCCTATATAGGTACTTTGGGGCTCATGTATCTCTATATGGGCACATGGACCCTTTGGGTGTAGAATTCTAGAATCAGTTAACCAAGCGCTGTCTATGCGGAATGATGATGCTGCAAGCCGCCATACAACCTCATCCATGCAACCCTGAACCTTTGCCTCAACAACCCTTGTAGTAACCATTGTAGTGTTCCTGGTGGTACCCTCGAACCTGAACTTACGCCAAACCCAAATCCACCCAAGGCCCAAACCCCAAACCCACCACAGATCCGTCACGAAACCAAAACCTGAACCCTTAACCCTCAAAGCCTTATCGTAAAGCCTAACTCAACACACCGCCGCAGCTCCTGAAGCGAAGCACCTCAGAGCCAGTCTGTGTGATATAGAGGCCTTAATAAATATTCATACTCCCTGGGGGGTTCCTTCTTATAGCCATAGCATGTTATACCCCCAAAATAAAAACCCATTCGAATCATAAAGGCCCCAATACCATAGAACCCTACTATAGATCCCCTAGAGACCCCTTGAAAAGGAACCCTATTCTCCATAGTATTAATGGCCCCCCTATATGGGACTGTCCGAAAATTAGGGGTACCTTGTTTGGGGGTCCATAT